CACCAGAGCACTGGACGCATCCACACATAGCCACGTCCCTTGGCAGCCACATGCAGGCTGCTATGCAGCCCGGTTAGCCGAGGGTGGCTATTGCCTTAGATTGCGTGCTAGTGCCTCGGGATTAATTCCCGAATTTTTGTGTGACTTATGTAATTAATTCTAAATTGAGCAAAATTAAAATTATAACAAGTCCAACTTAATTAATTAATTCAATGCACTAAACCAAATTCATTCCAAGAACTATTCTTTAATGAGATTTGTTTCAACTTGATGCAACAAAAATGAAAAAGGGATATTCTCACTGTTAATTTAACTAAAATAAATTAATTATGAGATTTGAAAAAAATAAAAGAGAGTTGGAATTATGAACATAAATATTCAAATAAAAATTCCAACTTTAACTTGTGAATCCTTGAAAAATTTCATCTTCCAATATGAAGATTAATTAAGATTCTATCATAAGTTTGAAACTTTATGATTCCAATCAACTTAATAAATGATTAAATAAAAAAAGTTCAACAAACATTCATGGAAATTAGTAATTAACACAAAGTTCCAATCACTAAATAAATTAAAGTAGAATATCTATGATAGTGCACAAGACATGTGAAATTAAAGTAAATTTTTACATCTGGGAAATTTGCTTGGCCTTAGTCTCGACGGAGTCGTTTGACGACAACTCAATGTCGGTGGAAGTATGAAAAACTCTTACACTTTGTTTGAATGGAAAGAAATAAAATGAAAAGAAGAGAAGAGAAAAGTAGGGAGATAAATTCTCTTGTTTGGGTATAAGATTGGAGGAATGAAAGGGAAGGAAAGGGAGGGATCCATTTTCCCTCTCTCTTTAATAAGCATAATCCCTCTATAATAAGAGAAATTTGGAGGGAAAATGGAGCTCACCTCCCCCTTCCTTTCTTTTCCCTTCTCTTCAATTCATTTTTTCCCCTCCCCATCCTTTCCTTCCCTCTTTGTTATCAAAACGAAGCGTTGAGCTGCGAAAAGCCGATAACGATTGTGAAAGCTCCGGTGAGATTATAACAAAGTGGAAGAGTTGATGATCGGTGAAAGGTCGGAGGTTTTGCATTTCAGTGACTTAAATTATGAGGAGGTAGGAAACACAATTGACTTAGTTGAGAGAGGAGAAAGAAAGTGATTACAATTGAGAGAGGAAAGAGGAGAAAGAAAAGGATGGGAAACATAAGAGAGTGGCGGCTGATACATATGTTAATTTAGGTTGGAGGATTTTGCTCACTTTAGGCTATTTAATTAAACCTATTAGTTCTTTTGTAAACGATTAAAAAAAATTAGAAAAAAAGTAAAAACTGGGTTATATTACGGATTTTGGATCGAATATCCAATTTGTATCCGATATCCGATGTGGTATCCAACTTTTTTTGGATGTTGGATATCCAATTTTATAAAAATCAATTCCAATATCCGATTTTTTCGGATATGATATCCAATCCTAAATATATTTTAGATCGGATGCGGTTTGGGTATTCGGATTTTGGATTTTTAGATAGTTTTGCTCGATTATAAATTCTTAAATGGACCTGGTTCACACTAATTTATTGTGGACCATTAGCATTAGAGACAATATGATTGTTTTATTTTAAAAAAAGGTCACTATATTAAAATAAAGGTTATTATGTTGAAATAAAAGTTAGTGTGACATTATAAAAGCTATAAAAGGTTAATTTTTTTAATGAAGTTTTTAATATAATGGTCAATATGAATAATAAAAATCATTATGTTAAAATTAGGTCACTATTTAACATAATTGTAGACACCCAAATGTACCTCCCCAAAACCAAACCCAGTGATGAATACCTTTCATGTCATTTGATTATCGAACAAAGCGAAAGTGTGAAAAGTCTAGTGATGAGGTATTTTTTTTATTAAAAATCTCTCTTTCTATTTTCGAAAACCTACCCTATTTATAAAAATTGTGCATTCCAGTTTAGTTTGGTCCATTATATGGGTCCAATTATAGTGTAGTTGGATGGGGCTTAAATAAACATTTCCAACGATATATTATAAGCCCAATTCCGATGAATAATAAGGAAGTTATGGCCAAAATACTAAATTGGGCTCAAACCGGATTTTACCTACGGCCCAATGATCATGTGGAGGGTCCAAAGGTTTAATCCTATTCCTTAACTAATTAGGATTTATTAGAATCTTCTATGAGTTTCTAAAAGATCTTAATTATCCTTTTTGAAAAGAGTTTGAAACTGAATAAAACATTCCTTTTTAAAAAAAAATCCTAGTTCTATTCGAATTTAAAGAGGTTCAAAGACAGTCAAATATTATTTTGTGCCTCATAATCTCTATCCAAATCTTATATGGTTGGATAGATATCAAAATTATCTTTCCAATGATATATTATAATATTAATTCCGAGGTATAACGAAAAAGATATGAATGGAATACGAAACTCTATCCAAAACTGACACCCTTCCACTATTTTGGCCATATATTTTTATCTACAATATATTTTAATCTGATTCTAATTTGGTTGGAATGTAGACTTCAAGATATTTCCAACGACATATTATATGACGTATTTGGACTTCTGGATCATAAGATATGATAAAAACAAAATCAGCAAAAAAGTTGTCACCAGCGCTAAACGACAGATTTGTCGCATGGCGGCGAGCTTGTCGTCTGGCGCTGCTCCTGACGTTGGCGACAGGAGGTCTTTTATTCCAAATAGGACTCAAACTTTTTTCTATCGTTTCCGTGCTATTTTTTCTATAAATAGGGGTCGTATCTCCCGGTTTTTAATCATTAACAACAATCATCTCTCTATTTCTCTCTCTAAAAGCTAGAAGCTTTCCTTCTCTCTCTATTCTTTTTCTAAACCTTTCCTTTTACAAAATTCCTCATACATTAGTTCTAGACACACCTAGCCAAGTTCGAAGTTGCCTTCGCCCTAGACGTGAAAGGTTTGCTATTTCTGAGGGTTTGGTCCCAAATCTCTATTTCAATTATTTAATTTAATTGTTTTGATTATTTATTTTTCCTTGAAGTTACTAACGCTTTATTTTGTTATTAGAAAGAGGTAAGAGGTATCCAAGTAAGTGATTTAATAGTTTTATTGATCTTTTGATATAGAAATCATGCTTAGATTGTTATTTTAATTCCTAGTATATTATGTTAGAATGTTTTTATTGCCTCCTAGTATCATGTTTAGGGTAATAATTAAAAAATTTAATGTCAAGTATGATTATTATTATGATGCTTCCTATTTCTTTCCTAATATCATAGTGTCATGTTAGGACTTTGATCTTTAATGTTTAGTGACATGCTAGGGTTTGTTATTAATCTTGTTAGTATCATGCCTAGGATCTTGCTTTAACATGATTATTTTTATAATTGTTGTAATTGTTATTATGATGATTATGACTATTATGTTGCTTGATGTTTATATTATTGTTATTGCTTGATCACTCCTTTTATGCATGCTTAAAGGGAATTGGTACTTGTAATTATGTTTAATAAGATAAATAATAATCTTGTTTAGGGTTAATATGATTATAATTCAAGTGATCGCCAATATTTGTAAAAAAAAAAAAAAAAAAAGTGATCGCCAATAATATATTTTGTTTATGCATTAATATTCAACCAACAAAGATTAAACAGGATTAGGGTAAACCTATTGATTGCAGGTTAGTCAGAAATCGCACATAAATACGAGAAGCATAAAGTAGATGCCTATTTTTAGGGCAAGTTCAATCTTTTTAAAGTTGGATTTGTACCTTCATCCCCGAAGATCCAGTCATGGTTCCAAACCTATAGGAGTTAACGATCTCATGTAGGGATGGCAACGGGTCGGACTCGGAGCGGATTATGCTAAATCCGACTCCGACCCGACAGGAAGTCGGATGTTAAATCCGACTCCGACTCCGACGTCCGACTCCGACTCCTACTTCAATATCCGACCTTCGACTCCGACTCCGATCCGAACCGACTCCGAGCTTTTTTTCAATTATTCAATATACTTTGAGATGTTGGACTATTTTGGCCTTTACAACCCACACCCAATGCCACCATGACCCACACAAAAATCCACTATCTATTGGAGTCGGAGTCGGAGTCGGATAATACGTTAAAGTCAGACATTTGTCGGAGTCGGATTTTTTTCTCGGATTTTTTGTAGGATCCGACTCCGACCTTCCTCCGACTCGGAGTCGGATTATTTTAACGGAGTCGAACTCGGATTACTTTTTTCTCGGATCGGGGCGGATATTTTACCTCGGATCGGGGCGGAGTAGGGTCGGATCCGGACTAGATTGTCATCCTTAATCTCATGGATCGTTGGGTGTAACCTTCACCCTGTGAACGGTTTACAAGTTCCTAAAACTTGTTGGCGACTCTTTTATTCTAGCTTCCTTCCCTTTAGATGCCATCATATTTAAGTGTATGATCACAATGGGGTTTAAGTGTAGAATGACTTGAAATATAACCTACAATAATGTCGTACTTTAAGTTCCTAATAACATTAAAAATCACTTAATTTTTTAAAAAAGTTACTATGATAAAAATAAAGTTACTATGTTGAAAATAAGGGTCACTATATTGAATATAATGCCAGTTACGCAAGATTTTCTATTGCTCGACCCTAATAGAGAGATGAAAATGATCGTGTAAGAAGTTTAACAATTCAATACTAGAGTTCAATGAAGTCGCAATGCTAATTGGACAACACCTTAGGGCCTGTTCATATTTACTGTTAATTCAATACTTTGTTAATACTAAAGCGCAGTGTTTTACTTCGATTTCATTAAATCCACCGCAAGTGGTTTGAATTCCTTTGCATACGAATTAGGGTTTTCAATAGGAAATAGGATTTTCAACAGGATATTGACACCATTTTCGGAATGTGGTAGCTTCAGTTAGACCAAATCTCTAAATGTGATTTTCTTTTCTTCGCTACATTTGGGTATACTTACAATACTACCCCTAACTGCTATGTTGATAAGACGAAATTAGCCCTTGATTTCTTGGAGTTGTTACTCAGCCTTATTTTCTCGAGGTTTTCTGGTGCTGCTTGGCTTTTGCTTTGCTAACACTACCGGCCCAAACGAAACTTACTGCATTTACTCTCTTCAACGTTAATGGTGATTATGTCTCTCAATCAGCTTGATGACGATATTGTGCGCACCATGTCCATTGGCGCCGTCTTCTCAGACTTTGTGAGTTTATAACTACTTTAACTCCTTCATATTCTTTCAATTTTTACACTTCAAGTCCCGTGTTATTCAGTTACTTGATTATGAAATTGTTTTAATTTTCAATATGTTATGATGTTTGATTTTTGTCTGCATTTTTTTGTTGTTGTAATTTCCTATTTAATTTTTTTCAATTTGAGTGCTGATTTTTTTTTATTGGATGTAATGCATTATGATTTGCTGCTTGAAATATGCTTTTGATTCTCTAAGGTGTTGTTGGTGTAATAAATTCAATGGTTTTGAAAAGTTTTATTTGAAAAATTAGGCTTGTAAATTTAATCACTAAATTTGCTGGTTACCAATGAGGAATAACTATAAGAAAAAGCAGAAAACAAAGAAAATCCAAGTTTTTCATCTTCATAAACAAATGTTTCGGGGTAGAAATGGTAAGCAGTTTTACCCATTTCTACCCCAGAATACTCCAATTTTGCCCTTTGATAAACAACATCTGTTTTGTCGATAAATAAGGGCTCCCTCCAGAAAACATGTCATTATCAAATGTACCAGAAGGCAAGACAGTTGAAAATGATTACATGACAATGTTCATTTAAGATGACTCCATTTGGAATGAAGTTGAATCTTAAGAATTAGTGATTACTTTTTAATTGGCTTAGTTCACTACCTCAACGCAGTACATAATACTTTGGCATTGATTTAGCTAGTGACTTTTCAGTTTGCCATTCCTCACATAAGTTAGAACATCATAGAAGTTGCTATCAAATTTCCATGTTTGTGCCTTGGTCCACAATATCCTGCTCTTGTAAGATTTGTATGTAGATAGGAATAGAGTTCTGCTCCTTTTATTCATGTTGAATGTACAAGTTTACTCAACAATTATGTGAACCATACCCTTCTTGAAAACATGTGTCTGCCCCAACCATGATAATCAGGCATATTAGCTGTAGTATTGGCGATCCTTGATCTTCGTTCTCTACTTCATTGTTCTTATTCCCTCTACTACGACACTGTGTTAGCATATAGCTCTTAACCTAAATGTTCTACGATAATGCTATGTCATCTGGATGAATGAGTGTAGTCTTAAATGTTTAAATGGGAGAGCTCTTTCTTGCTTTGTTGATTTCAACTTAATCTTTCCAAATTTTGTTGTCTAAGACTCTAAGGTGATACAAAGCTGGTTCATGGTTGTAGGCATGAAGGCCATTTGTTTTTGTTTTCAAATCTTTTGCCATGTTCTATCTTTCTTTAGTTTAGGGCCAGTTAGCTATGAGATTTTCATTCATGAATATGAGCGCTATTTCCATGAAGGTAATGCTATATTTTTTAAAAATTAGCACTTCTGTAGGTGCAATATCAACAGTGAAACTAGTCCCATGTTGCATGGAGACAGCTTGACTGTAGACTATGATTCTATTACAATAGCTTTAAAATTTAGGGACAGAGAAAGTGTTCAGAAATCAAATGTGAGCAGATGCTAGACTTTCAGTCTGTATTTATGTACACTTGTTAAATAATTATTTTACTCATTCAAATGGATATTAACACTAAGGTAAGATCCTTGAAAAATAATACAAATTTATACAAAAGCTTGAACCATCCAAAAATATCTGAAAGTTTTACACTTTTGAATAGTCCAAAGTGCAATGTTGATACTTTGAATAGTCCAAGTTATATCATTGATGTCTGCATGTGTAGCCTTGCTTGCCGACATATATTTTCCTAGTTTTCAGCAATTGATCCATGAAAATATTAGGATCATGCAAAATGTTGATCTCTCTATGTTGAATACTTCTAAATAGTCCGACGGTTAGTCCGAGATGTATCATTGGGACCTGCATGGAAGCCAAAAGTTGCTGACTTGTGTTGCCTAGTTCCAATAAGTGACTTCCTAGACCCTTTTGGCTCTTAATGAAATGTCTTAAATATACTCTAACTCATATTTGCTAAATCACTCTATGGATTCCAAGTATTTTGTCCCACATACAACAGATAGCTAGAGTTCTGCAAAATTATTCATGATACTAAATAGTTTTATTTCATAAAGTATGAGACATGCCAATGTTTAACAATAATCTACTAAAATAGGAATAGTGGGAAAGATTCTTAAGAGCTTACATGAAGCATCACATGTTTTGTTTTTTTTTTTTTTTTTTTTTTTTTTTTTTTTTTGTGACATCTTTGTCATCACCAAATAATTATTCTTTGCAGGGTGGAAAGATAAACTCAATCGATTTCCATCGAACAAGTGATCTGTTGGTTACTGCCAGTGATGATGATTCAGTTCGACTTTATGACATTGTTAGTGCCAAGTGAGTCCACTGTTCGAGATAAAACTGAACTTAATGATGCTAAGCTATTAAGCATCTCAATTACTACCTTCCACTGTTCTTTCTCATATGTGCTTCTTACATACCTTGATAATGGCAACCTATTATCAATGAACATGTTGTTATAAAATTTAGTTAATTCATTAAATGGAATGCCTAGTTTTTAAGCTAATATATTGTTGATTCACTGATTTAAATGTAATGATTTCCAGACTTCTGAAGACCACATATCATAAAAAACAAGGTGCTGATCGGATATGCTTCACCCACCACCCTAGCTCGGTGATTTGTTCCTCCAAGTATAACCTTGATTCAACAGGAGGCAAGTTCAGTTACTATTGTTTCTCGACTATGTTCTGTTTCAATCATGTGCAGGCTTCACTGCTTGCTGTCTGAATACTATGTAAATGTGCTCTTGCTTCTTTCTTGCAGAATCCCTACGATATCTTTCCATGTATGATAATCGCTGTCTTCGTTATTTTAAAGGCCATAAAGAAAGGTTTGAATATCGTCACACGAATTTGTTGTTAACTATATAAATGGCCTCTACTGTTGGATCCTTGTTGATCTCTTGCTTGATTTTCTCTTTGAATCATATTGGGTGTTGTGGACCTTTGACTGTGAAGTCTTGGAAATATTCTTGTACTACCATTTCTATGTTATCTCACTGTGGAAGTTGAAATGCCTTGGATTACTAATATCTGCTGGTGTATTTTGCAGAATTGTTTCCTTGTGCATGTCACCAATCAATGATAGCTTTATGTCTGGTTCCCTTGACCACAGCGTAAGAATATGGGATCTTCGAGTAAATTCCTGCCAGGTAGGACTCTAACCTTTGTAAACATATATTTTTATGTTCTCTATAGTCTATATCGAAAAAGATTTTAGTGACTGCTGTTGTTATTAAATCTAGAGAATACTTCTTTTCCATTGCAAGTTCATTGTTATATAATTAAGTAATTAATTAATTGAGTGTTGTTTTGCTATGTGTGAACAATTTCCAATTCGGTTGAATTAGAGAAACTATGTTCTGTGTAATTCAGTTAGGCCTACCTCATCTGGCTAAGGTGCTATGATGTTTATCTTTGCTATCTTCAAAATTTGTTTTTATGCCTATAATAAAGATGATATACATCAATGATAGTGGGAGAAATTTTGTTGAGCTTATAGCTTATAGCTTAATTGACAAATCTTTATATGGAGTTTAACTTTCTTTACTATGAAACTCCATAGAATTTGATTATATCCATATTCTAATATTCTTTTAAGTTAGGCGAGCTGAATGTAGCTTTTGAAATCCAAATTTCTATAACTTACAAGTTTGTGTGCACTTTTCGAATTTGTATATGGTTCATTAGTGGATCTAATTTGATTGTTTCATCAATAGTTACTTTTATTCACAAATATTTATGTAGTGCATTTCATCAATCTTCAGTAATAATATTTCATCAAGTTTATGTAGTGCATTTTACAAATATTTACTTTTATTTCACAAATATTAATGAATCTCACTTAAATGCAAGTGTGGTTGGAGGCATATCACCTGCCACTAGAATTTCATTTGGATGCCATCTTGATCAATTGTAAATGGTAGGTTCTTTGGTGAACCTCAATTGGTAGTGTGTTTATTTTATTCTACTATTATTTTTTTTTTTTGGTGGTGTTACTGCAAACAATGCCTCATTTGTGGTTGTGGGTGTATCGTATCCTTGAAATTCAATTTGAACTCTTTTTTATGAAACTTGAATGATATGCGCTTTGATAAATTCAAAGTTTGAGCACCAAGCTTAGTGCTCGTACGTGCACCATTAATTTGCTGACGATCCGATGTACTTTTTTGTTAAATAAGCTTAAATAAGTGAATGGAACCTAATGGGAAAATGACAGTGTAGTGGTTGTCTTTGCCAATTGCCAATTTACACCATGTAATTTGAAATGATTATTCGAATTTTTCACATAAATTTCTATTTCAAGTGTACTGCATACTTTAGGGCTCTGACGCTTTTTTTTCACAATGGCTTAGGTCATGAGAATCTCCCATCCTTTAGTTTATATTTTGGCAAAACAAAGGTGTGAATTTTATGAAATAAATTCTAATCCCATCTTGTCGTCTATCAACAGCACTTGTATTGTTGATAATGGCCAATGTTAATGAGGGTTTTGAATATGTAGTTACATTCCATATTACATCTCAACTAGTGTCCAGGTGATAATATTTTTAAAATTTTTTTTGTTATTGTTTGATGAAGAAATCACAACTAATAAGTATCAAAGATGGATTTTTGTAAAAAATCTAATTACTTGTTGATCCTAAGATCAAACCTTATTTAACGCTGTTTGGATGTCATACATTCCATGTAAGCCAAAATAGATCTTTGATTTTCTTTGACATGCGGAGTTTTGCTGCATCATTATTTATTTTACTTAACCTTGTCTCAGGTCTTACACATAAATATTTGCTTATCAGTGAATGCACAAGGTCCTTCACTGTTGTTTAATATGCAAAACTCTTATTAATTTTAACTTTTTGGTTCATTATCAGTATGGGGGTTGTTAAGGAGTACTTAGGGTCTAGAACAAAGGTATCAGGACCATTGTGTTCGTTCATCCCATATTGCAGAATAAACCCAATCTAGGTCGCTGCTCATTGCAAACAAGATTGCCAAAGGTAGCGACCAATGTTCTCATCCTCTGTCACTACAACCACATCAATTGAGCCTAATCTATTCTCAATCATGGGTATCGTTTGATAAACCTAAAAATGTGATTGAGCCATTGAGGCATTGTTGGGAGATGACTTTTGGCTATGCCTTTGAGTAACACTGATATATAGAATTGTTTTTTGTTTGTGGAGTCCCTCCAGTAATCAAAAACCGGTACTAGATAGGATCATATGAAAGCAAGTGTTAGACTGAAAACTGAAACGTTTAAATGTACCCATGTAAAAGTCAAAAGTACCCCCTATTTTTTTTTTTTGGATGTACCGTGGTTGTCACAAGGTTTTGAAATTCTGATATTAACACCTACAATTCCCTCAACACATTATAGAAGAAATATACCATGGTTTGTACACATTTCCTCATAACATCATCTCTCCTCAAGTTTTACGACAATTTATTGTTATACATAATGCCATTGTGCTATCCAATAGGCATGAAGCTTTTAAAAGAATCACATTGAGGTTTGATTCTAAAGGTGCTAATTACAATGTTGTTTTACATGCATTTCACTTAGAAGAGTTTGAAGGTGAAGTCATGAAGATCAAGCATATGTAATAACTAACAAACATGGCAACATATTTATTAGCCCAATTTTTAAATTCTAAATTAAGTTCCTGCTAAAGCATACTTCGTATGATTTAAAAGGTGATACATTTATTAAGTGCATAATAATTCTTAAACTTTACGTGCATTTCAGTTAGTAAAATTTTTATTGATATGGGAATTGTTATGATTTCGTTTGAACTTGTATGGTTTTCAGGGGATTTTAAGGTTGCGGGGAAGACCAGCAGTTGCATATGATCAGCAAGGACTTGTTTTTGCAGTTGCAATGGAAGGGGGTGCTGTTAAATTGTTTGATTCACGCTCCTATGATAAGGTGTGGCACCATATAACCTAGACACTAGCATGCAAATTCTTTATATTTGTAACTGATAATGATTTTTAGACTTTCTATGTAGGGTCCTTTTGATACCTTTCTAGTTGGTGGAGATACTGCGGAAGTCTGTGACATAAAATTTAGTAATGATGGAAAATCTATGCTCTTGACAACCACAAATAATAATGTCTATGTCCTTGATGCATATGCTGGGGAAAAGGTTACTTTTATCTTAGCTGATTATTTCATTTGTGTTTGGCTCATTACATTACCTTCCAATATAAACTCGAGCTTCTATGAATTCTTGTTTCATCGCTCCTGCACACTCTACAGAGAGAGCTTAATTCATGAGAAATATTTTAGTCTAAATTTTTTTCTCATGCAGCGCTGTGGATTCAGCTTAGAGCCTTCACATAACACAACGATAGAAGCAACATTCACTCCAGATGGACAATACGTTGTTGCAGGTTTGTATTCCTTTTCCTTGGCACTATATGGAAAAATGCTGTACACTATGATAAAGTATGCTGCTTCAATATATATATATATATATATATATATATATATATATATATATATATATAAGCCAATCTGTGCTGTTGATCTATGAATCTTTCCATTACTTTTGTTTTGGTTCCTAAGCACTGATCACTATGCTTGAACTTTTTCGTTTGCCTTCCATATGTCACTCTAAACCTCTCTATATGTGAACTCTATTGTTGGCTTTTCTAGCTCGATGTAAATCCCTAGGGATAAATGCTATGTTAAATTTTCTGTCCAGGTTCAGGTGATGGAAGCTTGCATGCTTGGGATATTAACTCAAGGAGTGAGGTAGACTATCTTCACTATACCTTTTTCCATTCTCCCACATTCCTTTAACTGGCACTCGCTCTGTTTCAAATAAGTACTTTAGTTTGACCGGTATATGTGCCAATGCTGAATTTTGACCTATCTTTAATAATCAAGAAGAATAAGTTATAAAAATTTTATATTCAAAAATTATATATTTGAGATGACTAACTTTATTAGTGCTGTATGGAAATTGTGCAAATGTCCGATACAGGGGCACTTAGAAAGAAATAGAGGGAGTAACTTTATTCTTGTGCATCCATATTCTATGAAGTGATTTACTTACATTCATTTTTGACAAAACTGAATGAGTTAACAATGGGAAATAGTTTTTTCTCCTTATGCTTTGCTAATGTAAAGCTTAATAATTTTATGGAAAATTTTCCAAGAATAACACCATCTTTCACCCGTCTTCCAAGAATAGAACAACCTTTGGATTATTTTAAAATAAAACGACCTTTGATATACATATGCCAAATATAGAACGTAGCTTGTTGGACTTGTTAAATAGGTTACCAGTGACACGTGTCACAATATCATTAGTCAATTTATTTAAGAATTTTTTAAAAAAAACCGTAAAAGAAAAAAAAAGCTCCCTCCCCCGTGCTGGCAGCCGCCCCCACCACCAGGCCTCCCCATAATCGCCGGCGGCTAGAGCCCCAGGCCCCTACCCCGCCAAACCACCTTCCTCCGCCCTAAAACCCTCCTCCTTCACCTCGAAAACCCTCCTCCCTCCCCTTGAAAACCCTCCTCTCCCCACCAGCTAGCGCCAAACCACGTGCATTGTGCCGACAAACCAATTTCGCGGTTTCGCCCTTCCGAAGGCTGTCTCCACCCCCTTCCCCCCTTTAACCACCTCCAAAAAGTCCAAAACCCCTAAAACCAATACTCAATTTTGGGGTTTTAGGATTTTCAGATGCTGGTTCAAGGGGGAAGTGGGTGGAGACGGTCGGAGGGGATAAACAAATTTGCTGGCACAGGGGAGTGAGTTTGGTCGCCGTCCGACAAGGAGAGGAGTGTTTTCGAGGGGAAGGAGAGGGAATTTAGAGTGGGGGGAAGGTGGTTTAGGGGGGTGAGGGGCGCTGGATGGTCGAGCTCTAGGTTAGGATGGGGTATCACCGGTGTCAGGTAGGGGGGCTTTGGTCGCCGGTGGTGATGTCGGGTGGTGGTGGCTTGGTGGGGTTGTTGCTGGCAAGAGGGAGGGATTTCCTTTTTTAAATTTCAGTTTTGTTTTTAGTTTTAGTTTTTTTAATTTAGGTTTTATTTTTTAAAATCATTATTATTAAAAAAATGTGAAAATAAATTAAAAGTATTTTAACCAATGTCAAATGTAACATATACAACACGTTACAGGTTTTTTGTTCTATTTTTGGCAGATGTTAAAGGCCGTTTTATTTTAAAATAATCCAAAGGTCGTTCTATTATTAGAAGATTGCAAAATGGTGGTGTTATTTTTGACAAGTTTTTCTAATTTTATTCAACATAAGACCTTATCACCTTATCGCCGAGGTCTAAAGTGCACCAAGGGTATGCTTCTTGGTTGACCACTTTACATGGGATAAAACTTGCTAATGTGGGAGTAATCTTATAATTGCTACAACAAGTGAAAGGTTAATGCAACATAGAAATGAAATATAGAAGAGGTTAAATTAACATCTATCCAAGAATTTGCACAAAATACATGATAGGGAGGATTACCTCCTTGAACACAATCAGAGAAAGAATAATGATCTCAATACTAAGCTAAAGTAAAGAGCTAAGAACTATAAAAGATTAATTGTTAGTTGTTTATAATTACGAAATTAATTATTGCGGGCCTAGAAAATTAATCAAGACAAAAGAAAATAATAGCAAAAAAGATAAAATAAAAAGAACAGTGATGGGGCTTTAGTGGGGCAGAGAACAAATAAAGTAATTGAGGGTAAGTGCTTGAAAACAAAAAGAGCAAGAAATCAACTTACCTCATCGCCTACTTTTCCAGTAAACCTCATGCCAAATTTGAAAGACAAGGCTTGAAGTTATTTCAATTGTTCTTAGACTCCCATATGTTTCGTCGTTTCGTTGAGGGGAACATAGTGTATGTACTTTCCCTTCATGGCCTTGGCCCTCTTCGTGTTCTGGGTTCTCCACCTTCTTTTTCATAGTTTCCCCTTTGTTTTGCACTTTTTCCTTTTCAACGATTTCCTCCTCCCTATTGGCATGTATGCATAAGGCCTCGTTGGATAATTGAAGGTTTTTGGCCTTATATATGTATTAGGCCTTTTTGGGTAGATGACGGTTTTTAAACTTATATATATATATATATATATATATATATATATATATATATATATATTATATATATATATATATATATATATATATATATATATATATATATATATATATATATATATATATATATATATATATATATATATATATATATAGGTGAGGGATCGGGTGATAATAGGTCCATATGTGAGAATTTATAGTTATACGAGAACTAATTTAAAATTTAGAACATGTGAGCAAAAATTTAGAAAATGTGAGTTAAAATTTAGAACATGCGAGTTAAAATTTAGAACATGTGACTCAAATAAAAATTTTGAACATATGAGTAATAATTTAGAACATTTGTGTGAGTAATATGTTTAGAACATCTGATTTAAGAATTCGAACAAGTGATTAAAAATTTATAAAATTTGCTTTATGAAATTTTAAACATATGAGTAAAATTTAGATATATGATTTAAGATTATGAACATGTGAATAAAAATTTAGAACAAACTGATATAGAATATAAAAAGTGTGAGTAAAGAATTATGAACATACGCTTTAAAATTTGGAACATATAATTAAAAATCTTAAAAGACACGTTTTAAAATTTAGAACATACAATTTAAAATTTTGGAACAAGTTATTTAAAATTTATGACATCGAACTTAACTAATTTATGGTTTAGAACATGTGAGTACTAAATTAAAACATTTGATTTAATTTAGAACACCTAAGGAAAAGTTTAGAACATCAAATTTAAAATTTAGAACATACGAGTAAAAATTTAGAACACTCTTGAGAATTCCTGTAAACAAGGCTTGTTATGTTGGTTAAGGAGTGGTGTTTTTTCCTGAGGGAGTTGGAATCAAATCCTATCCCAAACAAGTTTTTTTTATTATTTTTTTTAATTTTTTTTAATTTTTTATTAATATATTTATATTATTTAATTTAATAGATTTGGCTAACTTTTTTGTCAATTGAGTGGAACTTTAGGCTAATTGCTTACATTTAATATGAAATATCAAACTTTTAGGGTTATATGCTAGTTTATTTGAAAATTATTGTTTTTGTATTGATATCATGAAATAAAAAACACTAGAATTTTTTTTTATTTTTTTATTTATTATTATTTTTTTTTAATATAGAAAAGTTAATAAGAGTAAATTTTAGTGTTGAATCTTTAGTGATGATTTTGCTATTATGAAAAATTATAAGAGTAAATTTAACTCTTTGTTTAGTAACAATAAATTATTAGTGCATTTTATTTTTTTCAATTTTTTTTACTAACAGTCCGGCCCTCGGGACTTGAAAATCCTGGCTTCTAAAATCATAAGAGTAAAATTTAACTTTTTTTTTTTCGCCCCTGCTTGTTCTAATTATTAAATCAGATGTTCTAAATTATCACTCACACAAATGTTCTAAATTATTACTCTTATGTTCTAAATTTTAATTTGAGTCACATGTTCTAAATTTTAACTCATATGTTCTAAATTAGAGATCAGTTCTCATTAAACATGGGCAACGGGTCGTGCCGTGCCGAGCCGCGGGCCAAACCGTGCCTTTTTTTTTTTTAATAAATGAAAAATAACGATATATATTTTTTTTAGTACAACTTAATTTATGTGATTAATTTATGTTTATGTTAATGTTAATATATTTTGTTTAGATTTTTTGAACAACTTTATTTTAATATAGGTTATACAAATCATTTATCTAATTATGTTTAAGTTTATATAAACAAATAAAAACAATTTTATTAATTTAGCAAAAAACAACAATGCATATAATAAAAAAAACATACGAGTGCGATAATCCGAAAACACAAAAAATTGAAGAATAACTTATTTTATTATATGACGGTAGCCGGTACGATAATTCAATAATACAAAATAATTAATTATAATTAAAAATCGTACAATAGTGTATGAATAACTTCATTTATTATACGGAATAAGAAGTTCGATAATACAAAAATTATACAATAGTGTATAATGTAAATATGTAATAATGTAATTATTATTGGTCGTCTTCGCCTTCGTCTTCATCTTCGTCTTCATCTTCATCTTCGTCTCCTTGTGGTTCAAGTTCATCGGCCAATTGAGTTGATTGAGAAGTATGAGAACTAAAAGAAGTCGACATTCCTTCATCGTCGTCGTCGTTTTGTGCATAAGTACGATCTTGAGAACGAGTTTCGGCATCCAACCAATCCTTGAAGCAAACACACATTTTAAGTGTTTCGGGTTTTAGTCTTGTTCTTCTATCGTCTAAAACTCGTCCCGACGCACTAAAAGCTCTTTCGGAGGCAACGGAGGAGACTTGGATAGCAAAAATATCATGAGCCATTGCCGACAAAATTGGATGTTTCACGGTTTGTGATTTCCACCAATCAAGGATGTCGAGGCCAAACTTCTCTTCATCGTCCATGCCTTTCATGAAGTCGTAACTTAGGTACATTTGCAACTCCGAAACATCGCTTTGTGTTCTCTTACTTGATGATGATTCCATACTTGAAAACTTGGACATCATGTTAGCAGCTTGTGCAAATAAATCTTTGGCCCGTTTACTTACATTTTTGGATGTTTGAGAAGGGGCAAATCGAGACACGGTTCCATATTTACTTTCATAAACTCTATATAAAGAAAAAAAACTCATTAGTCACCTTATTTTTAAAATTTTCAACATCATCTTCAAAAATCATGTTACTATAATAAATATTAATTAAT